GTCAATTTCAATACTCATTGTAGTCGTTCTTCACGCGTGCCTTTCGTAAACGTAATAAACTTGAGGTTAAACTCAAACTTGAATTGTTCCAGTGGTTCTATCAGCTGGGTAACCTTGAGCGAAATAATTGAAGGNGCTCGTAATGATATATTGCTCGATCTTTCAAGATATCGACAAAGTTCTAGTCGTAATTACTCTGTGTAACTTGATAGATTCTCTTCGTCAACAGTTCTCAGCAGAAAAAGCTGTCTCAACAAGTTTCTTTGATAGGAAAACTCTAGTCGTTTAGCAAGAATATTGTATGAAATGGCTTTGGTTTAAGGTTGCTAAGTTTTCAGGGATCTAGTCATGTACACGTTATTGATTTCAATCTTTTCTATCAAAAGGTTTCTAATCTCTGTCCGCTTTTTGTTGGGCCTCATCTTTTTTCGTGCTCGAAACCATGCCGGCATGAGAAAAGGTGGTTCAATATATTTTCCAAGTGACGTAAAAGGGTGGGCATGTCTTGTGAGTTAATCAACTGCGAATTCAAGTATAGTTTAATGTTAGCCACTGACGCTCAAAGGTTAAGTCGCATAGAGCAGCATGACATGGCTTTTGAATGAATTGTGCCAAAAATGATTTCTTACGCAGTACCGCATGATGACTATTTACGAGTCACAAAATGCCTGAAGATCCCTGAAAGCCTCGTTCTACTACCTAATGAAAAGAAATTTCTCCATGCATCATTGCTGCAAATGATCCTGAATTTATATCAAAACGAAATGCGTCATGCCTATCCTCGCCATCAAACACCTCATGAACCAGGGTTGGATCTTTACTACACTGGTGTGCAAAACTTAGGGACGAGATGGATAATGTAACATAAAACATTGAGGACTGGGTGGAAATAAATGAAAGTGTGAGATTATATTGCCAGACCTATGACCGTTATGCACAGGGAGTTGGACCTCCCTTGTGGAGCAATACTCCAAATAAAGCGAGAAATATGGCTACCCGCACAAATCGAGGGAGCTGTTAGGTACGAAAAA